TAGTGAGGAAAAGAGTAGACCTCTTCGAAGTCCTTTCAGTCTCCTTTGTCACATGATCCCAGATCTTTCTCAGCAGACTACGGTATCCAGTGACCTCGTTGATAGGCAATAGACAAAGCAGATTTCCCATGTGAGGTAAATGATTGCTTAAATAAATTTTTCTTACTTTTTTTGGCCACTGTTTTTTCAGAAAAAATAAGATAAAATTCCATATTACTTGCCTTAAGCTAAAAGCCAACACCACTCCAACACGAAGATTAAAAGAAAACAAAGATGATGCAAACTCCCTCACCTGTGAAACAGGATTTGCACTCTCATACACGTTAAAAGCCCTTAAATCAAATAGAATTTGTCAGATACATGTAGGAATCCCCAAGTCATCATAAGCCCTAAATCACTTAGGCACTTTCGGAAAACTTACTCAGGTTTTTAGCAGTACCTCAGTGGAGGTATTCTTTGGTGACAGGCAGCAAAAAATTTCTTAGAAAGAAGAATCACTGCCTTCGGTGATGAGATTTATCTCACAGAAAATGTGTTTGGTCCCCTCACAATCTTTACTCATAAAAGGCTTTTTTCCAGGTGCAGATTCGTCCCACAAACCAGGCACTTTGCCACAGGTTCACTACATTAGCACAAAAACACAGCTACATGGTGTGGCAGGTGTAGGAGAATAAATTCTAGTTGACCACAGTTACTACAATATTTAACCATGCTAAGTGTCAATCCGAAACACACTTGGAGTTGACTGTGCCAGTAGCTAGTTACCCACCTCAAAAGCCAGCCTTTGGACGGTACTGACGTTACATCACCGGTGGTGACTTTAGTTCCCTACAAACTGCAGCCTTGGAGACATTTGGACAGCAGTAAGAGCTCGGTGCTCCCTCGGAGGTGCACACAGAGTAAAGACTCCAAATTACTTATGATTTTTTATGAACCCTGAGTACAGACAGGTAATAAGAGTACGAAATTGCCATTTTTGCAGAGCTCTTTTTCAGAACAGAAAAAGCCAGCTGGGGAAGTGATCTGAGTTAGCGAAACAGAATTAAGAATAAATTATAGCTAGTGGGGTAAAGTGTTTACAGTGATTTGTTGTTCCATCTCAGCGTGTGCTTAACGTTATGAGACGGTTTGTTATGGGTTTGTTGTGCCTCAAGTGAGCACAGACACGTTTTAATTAAGACAAATGGGAAAAAATTTGGACAAGAATATTGTTGGCGAATACAGCACAGGGTGTATCAACACGATGCGTCCCCCTCTCCCTCCTGCCCAAATGGTTGTACCAACAGAAATATATTAGCAAAAGTCAGCAAATCTCAGGGGCTTGTTTTTCCACCTATTGTTGTGGACTTGCTAACTGCATCTGTACTCATTTGTACATGTAATGTCAACTGATGCCTGGACCAACAGGTATGCGTATAAAATGGAGCAACAGATACACAGTAAAAGTTTCACAGTGATCTCTGGTCCATCTGCTCTCAAAATTTCTCTAGCACAGCTGCTGGGTTTGCATGTATTAATGCTGAACTGCTTTTGAAACTAGCCACTGTATTTTGTTGGTTGCATTAACACAACATTAACTGCGAGAAAAACCTGATCTTTTACTGATTCCCACATTCAGTATGTGATCTCTGACTGATGGTCATGTTAAAAGGGTAGTTTGAATGTATCAGGTAATGTGCATCACATTATGTTTATGCCAAATCCACAACTCCAGGTGCTTTAATTACATAGAACATATATTTAGAATCATAGAATCATAGAATGTTTTGGGTTGGAAGGGACCCCTAGAGGTCATCTAGCCCAACCCCCTGCAGTGAGCAGGGACACCGCTAACTCGATCAGGTTGCTCAGAGCCCCATCCAGCCTGGCCTTGAATGTTTCCAGGGATGGGGCCTCCACCACCCCTCTGGGTAACCCTTTCCAGTGTTTCACCACCCTCATTGTAAAGAATTTCTTCCTTATATCCAGTCTAAACCTACCCTGCTTCAGTTTAAAACCATTACCCCTTGTCCTGTCACAGCTGGCCCTACTAAAAAGATTTTCCCCATCTTTCCTATAGGCCCCCTTTAGGTACTGAGAGGCCGTAATCCGGTCTTCCCGCAGCCTTCTCCAGGCTGAACAACTCCAACTGTCTCAGCCTGTCCTCATATTTACAGTCTAGAAATTCCTTCTACAATTATTGCAGATTTTACAGAAACATTGTAGGTTGGGGAAGTACTGTATGGAAGGAAAAGGGAAATGCTCCATAGAGAATGTTAATCAATACTATCAAAATCCTCTGAATGCCTTCTGTGGATAAACTTCCCTATAGCCATACAGTGACAACGCTACACACTTTTCTTTACCAGAATGCAACACTTGGCAAAAAGCCATAAAAAGTGAACTACTGGCTGAGACAAAATGCTCTATCCCATCTCTGATGCAGACCAGTAGCAGATGCAGAAGAATGAGACAAGCATCAGATGATACATTTCTTGCACATCTTCCAGACATCTCAGATTCACTTCAAAGTCATGTGGGCTTTTAAATAATCTCCAGCTTCTCTGTCCCCCATGTCCTCAGCCATTACTTCTGGCACTGCAAACACTTACATACTCTCAGACATCCGTGTTCTTCAGTTTCAGTTCCTCAGCCCCAACTCAGGCCATCCACATCGCCTATGTATGCTAACAGAATACATGGAAACATGTGGAACAAGACTTATGATGGGACGGTATGGCAGAAAGGCATTAGTCACGAATGAAAAAGAAATCAGTCCATGGAGGTGCCGAAACCTTCCGATTCAGCTGAAGTCACTGAGGTTTAAGGGATTTGTATAGGCTGTCAACCAACTCGGTTTCCTGGTTTGAACTCTGGTTCAATCCCCTGCTGGGTTTGATCCCTGTTGAGTCCCTGGTTACTGACACTGAATCTGTGCTAGTTCACTCCTGGGCTCTCTCCCGGTGTGTTTTATGCTATGTGGTTGAGCAGCTTGGGCTACACCCATTAAAGCCCCATCGTTTTAAAAGCATAGATTGCTAATGGGGAATCTGTCCAGTTTGAAGGATAAAATGTTGTGGAGTGCGAAGGAGTCTGGGAGGAATCCTTTTTCTGACACCCTGGTGTCACACTGCTGCTGGCCTTCTTCCTTTTTCAGCTGTGTCCAGAATAACGGGATCTGCAGATCACATGGAGCAGGTCGTATGGAGCAGGTCTCAGTAAGATCCATGATACGGTTCTGTGGATAAAGCATTGGTCAAGTAACCAGTAACCTGAATTTTCCCACAAGTCACTGCTAGGCCACTGGCAATGAATCTGATTCTTTTCACCTGTTTCTTCATCTGTTAAATACAAATAATTATATTTGCTTTACTTTGTTAAGTACTTTGGGTTCTACAGATGAAAAGCATCTGAACACAACCGAATTGTGAACAGGCAAATGGAAAAAAAGGCTGGAAAATTTAACTGAGTGGCTTCAGATCTCTGAAATTGTTTGAGTCTAATTTCCAGCCCTGGTTCAGGTGGCATCCTCTTTTTGTCACCACCTGTTGTTTCAGTCTCTTTAAAATCCTAGTTTTGCAAGTATTACACCATGTGCCTATGCTAATCCCTCTCTCTCAACACTAAAATGTTTGAAATCCAAGTTGCTTTTCCCCATTTTTTTTAACCCTTCCTGAGCAAAGGAAAAAAACAGTTGCCCTGAATGGAGAAAAAAGGGGATTTTTAAGGCAGATTTAATCTCCAACCTTTTAACACAATAGTGTAAGGACAAACAATGGTTGAAACACTGCGATGGAGGAGTTGACAAGGGCTCTTTCACAGAGCCCTGCAGAAGGGTTTGCTATGGTTTCTCCTACGGAGGTATTAAAATTGGCAGAAGGTGAGACAGTAAAGCTCCGCATCCATCTCCAGGGGCAGCTGGGCTCCTGAGCTGCTGCATCCGTAGCTCTTTTATCAGCACATCTCAAAGAAGTTATTTCTACCAGTTTTTGGATTGTCTGTGGTTCTACACAACCTGACTGAACAAGGAGGCGTTTATTGAAGCAGAGGAGACGGTGGTGGATTAGTAACCCTCTGTGTGTGTGCGCGTGTGTGTGTGACTGATCTCATTAAGAAGCAATTTGTTCTCTGATGGTTTTATTGTTGCTGTGCTACAATCCAGAAAAGAGCTGAAAAGGCTCAGGAGTGATGAAAGCAATAGCAATAGAGGTTTTGAAGAGAATTGTCTGTAAAGTAAAGTAGAGAAACCCAATTTTTCCTGCTGGTTTCAGAAGTCGGGGTACGTTTCTTCCTGTCAGCTCTGAAGGGACTCTTGCAGCTCCCTGCAAAGCAGGAGGCAAGTGTAAATTACTGTCACTGTCACAGGGGCAGGGATACAGGGGAAGTCAGAATTTTAGAAATTGTTGTGGTTTTGTTGCCAGTCAACCTCCCCTTTGCTTGCCAGGGTGAATCAATATGATCGATACAGGAGATAGCCACCTGAGAGCAGAGAGAGAAAGCAGCGAGAAGTAGAAAACCTGTGGGGCTTTACAAATCCCTCTCACCTCCCACTGCTGTCTCCACCCTCAGTACGTCGTGGCTCCTCCTGGAAAGTGGTGATGCTGAAGTCTGCCTGGACTGGATCCGCTCAGTCCCATGCACTGCTTTAGCCAGCTGGCAGTGCAGGAGGGCTCTGCTTTCCCTGCCGCTGCCTCCTCCTCTGCAGGGGGAGAAGCTCTCCACACGCTGTGTTTTCATGCATGCCTCAGATGGGCTATGAGAAAACAGACTTTTAACCTGTGTGAATGAGCTGGAGTCTTAGAGGGATTAACCTGGCTGATAATTGAATTTAAAAAGACTGAAAGTCCAGGTGCTTTCAGGTGAGTGGAAGACAGCACAGGAATGGGACTGTGACTACATGGAGAACGTGCTCTGGGGCTACGGCTCACCCACGCTCTGCTCCACTCACCCTTTTGCAGGGGACCATGGAGAACATATGCTGAGGCTGAGTGCTGGGCAGAAGGAGCAGTGGGCTGGTGAAGATGGAGAATGGCACAGGAGATGAGCAGAACCAAACTGGGCTCCCACTATCAAGCCAGGAGGTTGTTACACCCGAATACCAAGTGGTTACCATCCTCTTGGTCCTCCTCATCTGTGGATTGGGCATCGTGGGCAACATCATGGTGGTTTTGGTGGTCCTCAGAACCAAACACATGAGAACTCCCACTAACTGCTATCTGGTGAGTCTGGCCGTGGCAGATCTCATGGTGCTTGTGGCTGCAGGACTACCCAATATCACAGAAAGCCTCTATAGATCCTGGGTGTATGGCTATGTGGGATGTCTCTGCATCACTTATCTCCAGTACCTAGGGATCAATGCTTCTTCTTTTTCCATCACTGCCTTCACCATTGAGAGATACATAGCCATCTGCCACCCAATCAAAGCTCAATTCCTATGCACTTTTTCAAGAGCCAAAAAGATCATTATTTTTGTCTGGGCTTTCACCTCCATATACTGTATGCTCTGGTTTTTCTTGCTAGACCTTAATACAGTAGTCTACAAAGACACTACTGTTGTGTCCTGTGGCTACAAGGTGTCCAGGAGCTATTACTCTCCTATCTACATGATGGACTTTGGTATATTTTATGTCTTGCCAATGGTATTGGCAACTGTCCTCTATGGCCTGATTGCTAGAATACTGTTCCTGAACCCCATCCCTTCGGACCCAAAAGAAAACTCTAAGACATGGAGGAGTGATGTGACTCACCAGAGCAAGCCCGTGAATTCCAAGATGACTAACAGGAGTTTCAATAGCACTATTGCTTCTCGAAGGCAGGTAGGAACAGCAGTTTGAAATGGCTTTCTGAAATCTAAAACCCACTTGTTTTAGATATCACTAATCTAAACCTATGGAAGGGGGTAAAATATATTCTCCCTTTTTGCTAAGAAGTCATGCTGAAATTTTGTGATGTGTATACACATATGTATAAATATGGGGTTTTTTTCTTGCCTATTCATTATTACCTACTGCAAGGACTGAAAAACAAATAGTATTTTTTTCCTATATCAAAAAACGATTAGGAAGTGTCAATAAAGAGTGAAGCATTTTTAACTATAGTTTCTTTATATTACAGCCTGTTAATAATCCTGCCAAGTATACAAAGTGACTCTTGAGTTACTTTTGAGATCTGGAGAGAAGGAACTAGCCTGGGAGTTTGGGAGACTTGAGGTTTTGCCCCAGCCAAGGCTCTGTGTCACTCTGCAAACACAGTCGTTACTTTTCCCGTTTCTAACTCTCTTGTGAAAAGTCTGCTTAAGCAAATCTGTGTATAAAAGTGCTTTGTAAATGCTAAGTATCTTCGTTATTCTGTTTCTCATAAAATATTTTTGTGTATTGATGTCTCAAAACTGAGGCACAGGTTTGACTAGCTTCTTTTTATATTGTTAAAGACGTATGCTGCGATGTGTAATTATACAGGTAGAATATAGCCTGTAGATTAATTTGTGGCTGTTTGCCATAAGCCGTGCTGCCTCATACTCACACAGCATGCAGAGCAGGTAGCACGGCCGGGTGCAGCGCTGAGCAATGCAGGCTGCATCCCTTCGCAGCTGGCTCTCGGGAGCAGGCTCCGGTTGGGTCCGGCAGCTTGATGTGAGCGTGGGGAAGCGACGCTCTGCGCTGCGTGACTTGGCTTAGAGCCCCCGGCAGCCTCTGCAAGGTGCCCAGGGGGGTCACTCTGCCAAGTGGGACGCTTCTGCCCCCCTGCACTGTGCAGTTCCCTCAGGCAGCAAAGCCGAGGTGTGCACCTTTTCAAACAAGCTGAGTGCCCCCCTTGGGTGACAGGTTGAAATTTTTACTCTTCTTGTTTTATGTAGATTGCTACTGTTTAATGAGAGGGACCATTTTCCCTTATTACAGAGGTGGCACCGACCTCAAAAGTTAACTGAGCTGCCTGCCAGAGCACCAAGCGCTCGCAGAGCACTAGAACCATGCTTTGAAATGCACAGCTGAAACATGTGGGCTAGGTTATATTTAATTATGTGTCTCCAACTGTAGTTAATAGTCAGATTAGAAATGTTCAGTTTTGTTTTTCTTTGTCCATTAATTAGTAGAAGAAGAAGATAATCTGCTTTTCAAGTTCCAAATATCACTTTAGTATGCATGCTTGATTACATGTCCTTAGCATCACTTGAAAACTGACAAATCTTTTACATTATCCACATTGCTGAATGTGGATACTGTTATATTATGAAATCAAAAATTGAGGATTATAATGTGATGTCTTTTATGTCTTGTAAAGACAGCAAGACTTTTTCTAAAAGCCTAAGTAACCTGACTGTTTAAAGTAGCATCATTATGAGTAAAGATAGAATTTTTACATATAGTACAGCATAGGAAATAAAGCAAGGATAGTGTGGCATTATTATCCCCCTGGTATCAACACAGGCTGGGGGAAGAAAGGATTGAGAGCAGCACTGCCAAGAGGGACTTGGGGGTACTGACAGATAAAAAGCTGGATATGAGCCGGCAATGTGCGCTGGCAGCCCAGAAGGCCAACCGTACTCTGGGCTGCATCAGGAGAAGCATGGCCAGCAGGTCGAGGGAGGGGATTCTGCCCCTCTACTCTGCTCTGGTGAGACCTCACCTGGAGCCCTGCGTCCAGCTCTGGAGCCCTCAGCACAAGAAGGACATGGAACTGTTGGAGTGGGCCAGAGGAGGGCTACAAAAATGATCCCAGGGCTGGAGCACCTCTCCTATGAGGACAGGCTGAGGGAGGTGGGCTTGTTCAGCCTGGAGAAGAGAAGGCTGCGGGGAGACCTGATTACGGCCTTTCAGTACCTAAAGGGGGCCTATAGGAAAGACGGGGACAATCTTTTTAGTAGGGCCAGCTGTGTCAGGACAAGGGGTAATGGTTTTAAAGTAAACCAGGGCAGATTTAGACTGGATATAAGGAAGAAATTCTTTACAATGAGGGTGGTGAAATACTGGAACAGGTTGCCCAGAGAGGTAGTGGAGGCCCCATCCCTGGAAACATTCAAGACCAGGCTGGATGGGGCTCTGAGCAACCTGATCTAGTTAGCGGTGTCCCTGCTCACGGCAGGGGGGTTGGACTAGATGACCTCTAAAGGTCCCTTCCAACCCCAAACTTTCTATGATTCTATGACTATTAGTAATATTTTTTCTATAATAGCAGCACACAAAATATAGCCAGTGGTGTAAAATGGGAAAACACAAGTCCATATTCAAAAAGTTCTGTTCTAAAATTTCAACAAGACACACAAGTGAAAATTTCTTGTTGCTCTGGCAAAGACGTGTAGAGCTGACAATGTAGTTTGGCCTCATAATGAGTTCTGCTGTCATGTAAACTGTCTATATGCCTTCTCGGAACTGCACCTGCACTACAGTGATGGAGCAATTTCCAGCATGTGATCTGTAGAAAAAGTGACTGAAAATGTGTTGTGCACTTCCTACTTCTGTGGCAGTTTTCAGATTTATCCAAAAACATTTCTACAAAATTAGATTTGTGCATGCTCCTGTGGTGGGCTGGCAACCAAACACCCACCCAGCTGCTTGCTCACTCCTCCCCACAGAACAGGGGAAGAACAGGAGTGAGAAGGCGGATGGGTCAAGATAAGGACAGGAAGATAACTTATCGGTTACTGTCATGGGCAATACAGACTTGCCTTGGAGAAAATTAACTTAATTTATTGCTAATTTATTGCCCCTTGTTGTAGCCACAAGTTACACTCAGTCCCTTATGTGATGCCACCAGCGGTGTGGGATGGGGGAGAGTTGCGATCAGGTTGCAGAGGTTTCTCTCTGGTACTCCTTCCTTTTCACTCTTTTCCTCTGTTTCAGTGAGGATCCTCCATGGGCTGCAGTCCCTTCAGGTGGTACTTCACCAAGGATTGCCTCCTCCTCCTCTGACTTTGGTGTTCTCTCTGCTGTTTCTCACTCTTTTGTTCCCTTCTCCTCTCTCTCCCTCTCTTTTCCTAGCATTTTTGCCATTTCCTAAATACGTTTTCACAGAGGTGCCACCAGCTTGGCTGATGGGCTCAGTTGTGTCCTGTGGTCAGTCCACTGGACCTGAATGGAACCGTTTATGTCTGGCACAGGGCAGCCCTGACCTTCTCAGAGAGGCCAACCCTGCAACCTCCCCACTGTCAAAATCTGGACACAGGCATTCAGTACTGTTCCGTTGAGTGGTTATGATTAATTATTATTATAATTAACCTATTATGAGCTCACATTTATATAATATACCAGAATGAATCAGTAAGTTAGATAGGTTTCCTCAACCTTCATGAAGGTTTAACTGAGGAATTTCATAACCATTTTTGACAATGATTAATACAACATGGCAGTATGTGAATTGATTTATGCACTTAGTCCAGCCTGGTTTGCTTGACTAATCTGGATTTAGTTTGACCTAAACTGCCAGGTCATACTAATGTCTTTAATTTTCTTGGGACTTCTCATTATCAGTTTTGAAAGTCTTCCTTTGTTAAAAATAGTCAAAACTTGTTTTTTACCTGGGTAAGGGAGTCTTTTGTCCCCTACCTTGGCAGACAGTGTCTGTGTTTGAGTTGAAGAGCACTGATTGAAGCTGTTTCCAACTCACGGCTGAAATAGATTCCATTGCCTTGTTGGTTTTTAGACCTTTTTTTTTTCACCTGTATTACTGTGTTAACATTATCTGTACTGTCAGCTTTGTCTTTCTATATCAGCTTACAAGAATTAGCCTTCTGTATACAGTCAATACTTTCTATTGTGAGTCATACAGTTTTGCAATTTCAATTGTTTTCTTCAAAAATAGCAATAAATCATTTAGGTTTCTGGTATGAGAGTTAGCCCAGAATTAGAAGCTGATGGACTGAGAATATAAAGAGCAACTTGAAAACCATCCTGGATTCAACACCAAGGATGCTTCCTCATATT